GCCGAACTGACATTTACTGTGTGCCTAGTGTGCACCACAGTTTCTCCCCATGCTTTGCAGGACCTGTCCTTGACATTCCTATGGCACAGACCATGGCTGGCTGCTCTGTGATCCTGGGAGAAACGGAGCATCAGTTCCCTTTCACAGGCAAGAACAATGGTACCCTTAGGACTGACATGTTTGTCCAGGCTCCCCTGCACCTGGGTCACCTTTGGGCACTGGCCATGACTCTGAGCTGTGGTTCCATCACCACCTCCTACAGAAACAGGACTCACAGATGGCTACACCCAGTCTGGGCCGAGCCTCAGTAGAAGATGGCACTGAAGGGCTTCTCCAGCAACAGCCCAGTGTGCGTAGGGCAACTGTCTGCAGAGCTGCCTACCTCGGGCTGCTCCTGTGTTTCTAGGACTATGCACAGAAGGGCCACTGCCTCTGAGCTGTTGAGCCCAGGGGCAGACGCAGTTCTGTGTGCACAAAGGCATCTTCTGGGGGGTCTCAGGAGCACAGCTGCACAGCAGTGAGGCACAGTAACAACCCACCTAGGTAGCTCACCCTAGCTGTTCCGTGAGGGTGGAAAGCTTCTCCCCAGAGCCATAGGAACAGTGTGTCTTCGCCTTAGCACTGTTGCCTTTTGAGCCAAATCTTTCTCTGTGGTGAGCCCGCTCCTGTACATCTCAGTATCCAGGGCTCCACCCCTTGAGTGCCATCACCTCCCCACTCTTCCTCTGCTGAGTTGTGACAACAGAATGTCCCTGGACGATGCCAAATGTCCCCTGGGTGGCCAAGCCAACCCTGATTGTGAGACACAGGCCTCTAATGTTCCTGGTCCTGCAGCTTTCCCTTCTCTATTGGTAGAATAGAGTGAGAGTCCAATTTCACAAGAAACCAGGCATAAAACAAGATAATTTACAATTATAGATTTTATCACAAGAGCAGCGGAGTCGTTCACTCATAGAAACCCCACCCCATGGCCTGTGCAGAAAAGGGGAGACACACACACACACACACACACACACACACACACAGACTCAGACAGTGGCCAAGACACACTGACATCCCTCTCCCTCTCCTTCTCACCCCTCCCTCTTTTCTTTGTCAGCAGAGCTCATTCGGGGGGCATGCGTGAAAGGGACAGAAACGTGCCTGCAGATGACTTCTGTCGTGACATATGTGACCACACAATCACCTCCACCAGGGAAGCATCGAGTGGCTCTACCTCATGGCCCATCCGTTAAGCACTGGTGGCCACACATGCATGAACTGAAAATTGAGCGGCGGTGTCACCCTGAGGCTTCCCCGTGGCCCTGAGCCAGGACACACTCAGCTTGGGAGGGGCCCCAAGTCCCTTGGACCCTGGGAAGCCAGTGGACTCGGCCTGACAACCTCCCTCTCGGGCCTCTCTTACCCCCATGGCTGCCGCTGTGACAGATGGCATGGTGCTGGAAAACTAGTCCGCTCGTTTTGTTCCTGTGCTCTGAACCTTTGTTCCTAATGGCGGGTCAGGTCCTTGCCTGCATTTGCACTCAGCCATTATCTCCAAGAGTGGGGCAGCTGGGTCCACACGGGCTGACCCCGAGAAAACGGCCTTGTTTTGGGGTCCAGGCCAGCAGTCTGTCCTTCCACTTCCCTGTGATAAGTTACTCTGTAAGAACCCAGGTATCCTTTCCTGCCCAAGTTCCCTGATATCGACTTCTTCTTCAAGGAGGGTCTCATCAAAGTAATCCATGCCTAATGAAAGGGACTGCTCCCTTTGCTCTGGCCCAGGAAGGAGTCCCTCTGCCCTGAAATAATTTGTTGTGTCCACCTTGTGTTTGTGCCCAGTGTCATGACAGTAGGTATTTATGAACTTGGCCCTGCATAATTTTGAGGGTCTCTCGGGTATCCTAGAAATGAAAAAGGAAGCTGTCTATGTGAATTGGCAGGGGGGTACCTAACTACTTCTCTCCCCAAAGACTGCCTTTACATAGGCAGTGCCAGGATCTGTGCTTGGGCTCTCCTGGGTGCTGCTGTTCATCCTTTTCACATTTTTTTTTGGTAATGGGGATCGAACTCCAGTCCTTGAGTTTGGGAGGCAGGCGGTGGCACCACTGAGCCAAATCCCTGGCCCCATGCCTTTTACATTTGCAGGTGTCTCTCTGCATCCCTTCACTGTAACAAGTGGTAAATATGAATGTAGCAGTTCTTTCCAGAGCTCTGTGGTCTGACTAGTGAAATCACAGAGCCCCTGGACGCCCCCAGGGACCCTAAAGACAATGGGATGCACAGAAGAGGAATGGAGACAAGATGCCAGCTGAGACAAACTCCCGACGCCTCCTTCTGATTAAAATTTCCATCATCTTCTACTTAAGGGTTTGAAATATTATCTAGATTTCATAATATGGAAAATGAGTTGTACATAACTAAGTATCAGTTAACCCCAAAAAAATTATATGTGCTTTTCTCCAGAGTATAGATTCAATTTTTTCTTTTGAATTTACCCTTTGAAGCCTCGAACTTAAGTCACCTCGGGAGTGGTGTCGGAGTTTCTGAGTTGGACTGGAGTGTTTGGAAAAGTGCGCACACCCTGGCTCGATTATCCAGTTATTGAACAGCTGCAAATATTAGAGAGATTTCGTGGGCACAGACATTAGGCTCCCACGACTGTAGCAGGCAGGGGGAGTCCAACATCACTGCATTAATCACGAGGCCTCTACCTTCAATACCGTGCATAGATTCAAAGGACAAGAAAAAAGTGTGACTTCCAAAAAAGGATCACTTTCAGTTCATGGATGATCTAGCTGGAGCCCGTGTGGCCAAACTGGGACGAGGCCAAGGTGCAGAGTTGTTGCCTGAGTTCTTGCTCCATTCTCACACCGACCGGCAGACGCTCTCAAGGCATTTCTGCTTTAAGGCTGGAAGAACAAGACGGAGGACCTCAGGGTGCTGATGTGGGAGCACTGCAGAGACTTGGCTTGACCAGGGCACTGGTCAGAGTGAATTACAGAGTAGAAAGGAGTCGTGCAGGACTCCCATTTAGCAAGAGAATGGAGGAAGGAGCCACCCATGTTTCTGTACCCTTTACCTACTGTTCTTTCCTCAATACCCAGTTAAACCTAACTCATCTCCCCAGGTTGTAAAAAGCTAATTTACATGCATTCATGTATTACTCAGTAAATGTAATCAGCAGTGTATATAGAAGTTTTAGTGTGGCAAAGACACAAGAGGAGCTATTGGCTTATGTATCTCCAAGATGCCCTATTCCCTCCTCCATACTGAATGAAGAGCTTCCTCTCTTTGGCTTCTGACCCCCTCACTCCCAATGCCTGGCTCTTGCAGTGTCTCATGAAGGCAATGGTAGAAAGAGAAGACAGAACAAGTGAAAGGCTGAATTTGCAGCATTTGAGGGACATAGCTGGGTGGGGTGGTGCATGCTTATACTCCAAGCCCTCTGGGAAGCTGAGGCAGGAAGATGAAAAGTTTGAGCCCAGCCTGGGCAGCTTAGTGACCTAGTGAGACCCTGGTTCAAAATAAAAGAAATAACAAGGGCTGGGAACATATCTCAGTGTGAGGCGCTGTGTTCAATCCCCAGTGTCTCAGGGAGAAGCGAGTGAAATAAGCAGGAGACATGAGTGGAAACAACGAGAAGCATCAGAGGCTTGATGTTAAGAGAGTTTTTGCGTGCTAGGTTGGGAAATGAAGCCCAGGCAGGGGCTCGAAGAGAGTAGCTTAGGAGAAGTGAGAATAATGCAGGGTGAAAAAAATGAAGACGGTGTCTAACAAGTGTTGTGTGGATCCCATGAATCCCAGTTGATACCATTTGAACCATTAAGAAAGATTGAGCAAGACTTTCTTAAGAAAGAAACTGGGCTTTTTGGTTTTTTGTTTATTTGTTAAAGGTAACACATCACCAAAGACTGGACCATATAAGCACCAGGTTATACCTGGATTATATTAAAAAGGGATTTTCCAAAGAGTTCAATGTATTCTGTGATTTTTAGAGTACTAGAGCCCCTTGAGCAGACAGCCCATGGATGGCACAGTGAAACAGCCACACTATTGGTTTGGGGACCAGCAGACAACAAGCCACTTTTGTTTGTAGGAGTAGAAGTAAGAAAGAAAGGAGACACTAAGCATTTCTATGGGTAGATGATGAGGCTGTAAAGCCATTGACATGGGAAACAGACCACAGACCCCATGTCTAGGACTTTGTGCTGTTGCTGCTCCTTGATTTATTTCTATATATTCCCTATGGGTGGGAATTTCATTGTGGATGTGGTGTTTTGTCTTCCCTTTTGTTTTTGTTTGTCTTTTTAGCTTACATGGAGGCTCAGAGGCTAAGAATCTTGTCTGAGTTCATGGGGGGTGGGTAACCTTTTTGCAGCTGGCTAAGGAATCAGACATCACCTACACCCTCTTTGTCTATGCTTGATGGTGACTGGGTGATCTATGGAACTCCTGGGATCCCGGCTAAGGCAGGACAACCTCTCAGGGTCACGGAACCTCCCTCCCCTGTGAGAGATGCATCACAGCAGTTACAGCAGAGCCAGGAAGGGCACTTACTGTGTGAGTTGGACACCCTCTTCACCTTCTGACAGAGGGAGGTTGCATTCTTCAGGAACCAGGAATAGTATTCCAGACAGTACCTAAGATTTAAGTCAGATGGGAACAATCATGGTCCTGTGGGGCTACCAGGGTATAGCCAGAGTCAAAGGAGGGGCTATATAAAGATGAAGGTATGGCCAGTTATCTCAGCAGGGACCCTCTGCTCATCTTTATGGGGTGTGAGAGGAAAGGTAAGGAAGTAGGCTGGATGGGAAAGAGCTCAGACTTTGAGGCCAGGAAGATTTGGTTTTAGTCCTAGCTCCACTATTTATTAAGATGGCCACATCCTTGCCTAGTCTGACAGAGGTGTGACGGTGACACGGAATGAAACAGCACATCTAGGTGTCCCTGCAGTGCAACAGCAGGGGCAGGAGGGCCTCAAATCATGCTGGGGCACCCACTGTTATGCTAGGTTTTTGCATCAGACCAGAGCCACTAAGCCCTTGCGGAGTCATCAGCATCCTGGACCCAGAAGGTGCCACGGACACCTGCCTGCCACCTGGGCACAAGGACAGAAAGTACCCTGGGCTCTGTCATCCTGAAGGAGGAAAGGCGTGTCCTGAGGTTAATGCTAAAGAACCTGCATAGGAAAAGTTTTCAAGAGAGGACTGTAAGAGAGAGACAATTGGGGGAAGGGGGAAGAAGTTTAGGAAGTCATCATTTCAGAATTGACAAAGCAAAGGGCTGGATTTAGGGGCCCTGCAGGTTTTATTGTATGGTATCTCATTTGAGTAAGGCAAATTACACACCAAGAGATTAATAAAGAATGGATAGAAGGAAACAAGGGGATGGACCTCTCGCACATGAGAAGGAGTCAGAGAGACCAAGTATAAGGGGGAAGAGGAAAGAGAATAAATAGAACGAAGACATGCCATGTACAGGAACCTGATACCCTCAGTGAATATAAGCACTATATGCCATAAACACGAGCTAAGATTAATCATACAACAAAAATGAAAATGGGGGAAAGGGGAGCTAGAGGAGGAGAGAGGGAAGGAAGGGGCAGGAGATTTTTAAAAAACGAGCTGTATTATGTACATACGCCTATTTCTCACACGACGATTGTAAACTGCATGTACTGCAATCATGTACTAGTAAAAAATAAAGAAGTAACCCAGCTTCTTGAAAGGGTGAGGTTGTCCTGAGCGGGTCTGCCCGTCCGAAACAGGGTCTGCCCTGGCAGCTGCAGACACACCGAGTAACCCAGTGAAAATGCTCCAAGCTGTCTTCCCTCCTTTCTCCGCATGTGCTTTCCCTACTGCCTGGAGTGGACGCTTGCATTTTCTGCCTGGGAAACTCCCATTCTTCCCTCACACCCTGTTATTTCCTCTGTGGGCTCTCAGCATACAATTCAGGATTTGCACTCGTCCTTGCTGGCTTGAAACACGTCTCTTGTGGCCGACGTCCCCGCGACACAGTGCTTTTGATTTTGTCTCTAAGGCTGCCCTTTCAACAAGCATTTTAGTGGCACGACTTTACACTTTGGGATTCTTGTCCTGTCTTCTGAGTTGGTACGAGTTCATGGAAAATTCACTGATTCGTGAAAATACAAGGAAAAGAATGAATTTAAATTCAAAGCTTCTCTCTGCAAATTTCTGCCTTGCCCACTGATTATCTCATCAATATTTGCAGTGCAGATGTTTTAAAATGTGATGTTTTCCAAGGGGTTGTGGATTACAGATTTTTACCTGGGTGCAGGATGTTTTTTTTGTTTTGTTTTGTTTTTACCACCAGCTCTATTTTACTTTGCATTCATGACCATTTTTTCTAACTTTGAAATCTTCAGTTTCTGGTCTTACTTACGATTTACTTTTTTATTCCCTGACCTAATGTAGTATGTGGCTGATATACGGTAGAGATAATATATATTGTTGATTTAAAGAGAGGAAGATCTAATAAAGTGAAACTGCTCCTAGATAATACAGGAAGTATTACTTTGAGGATTTCCTCTTCTCCAGGACTCAGCTTTGCTGTTGAGAAAGCTGAGCCTTGCTGCTCACACCTTGGGCCTACTGACCCTGTTTAACCCCCTAGTATGAAGAGAACATTCTCATTGTCCATGGGACCCAAGATCAAGGTGAAAAAGAGGTGAGAGAACAGGTTGCAAGTCTGGGCGTAAGGCACAGGCAATGGACTTGGTGAGGGATGTCATGAGCAGATCTGAAAATCACATTAAAGCTCTGAGAACTCGCCTCTAGACCACAGGACCAGGATTCTGTTTCTTGCGGTTTGGTTCTGGATTTACTGCCAAGAATAAATCCCAGAAGGCAGAATAGTGTATCAGTATCAAGGGGGTGAGGAAATGCCCATGTTTAGACCTTCTTCATAATGTCGTCTGCCTTATCATTCTAGTTTTCCAAGCCTCTCAATTAGCTGTCTGGTGACCGCTAGGGATTTATGAGAGAACTGCAATTTAGATAGCCATGTGCTTTGGCCAGTCTCTCCCAGAAGATGTCACCAGGCTGAGGGCATTGGGATTGAGAACCATTCAAAGTCCTGATTAGTAATTCTACCTGCCATAGTGGAGTTCATCTTCATACCACTCCACTCCTCTACACTCAACCCATCTCACCACAGCCTAGCTCGGCTAGGGATTTATGAGAGAACTGCAATTTAGATAGCCATGTGCTTTGGCCAGTCTCTCCCAGAAGATGTCACCAGGCTGAGGGCATTGGGATTGAGAACCATTCAAAGTCCTGATTAGTAATTCTACCTGCCATAGTGGAGTTCATCTTCATACCACTCCACTCCTCTACACTCAACCCATCTCACCACAGCCTAGCTCGGCAGTTTAGTTACGTCTTCATAATGTCGTCTGCCTTATCATTCTAGTTTTCTAAGCGTCTCATTTAGCTGTCTGGTGACCGCTAGGGATTTATGAGAGAACTCAATTTAGATAGCCATGTGCTTTGGCCAGTCTCTCCCAGAAGATGTCACCAGGCTGAGGACATTGGGATTGAGAACCATTCAAAGTCCTGATTAGTAATTCTACCTGCCATAGTGAAGTTCATCTTCATACCACTCCACTCCTCTACACTCAACCCATCTCACCACAGCCTAGCTCGGCACAGTTTAGTTTATCTCCACACAAGTGAACTCAACTCCACCCACACAACACAGTTCATCTCAGTCCATCTCAGTTCTACTGACCTTTGCTCAGTTCAGCTCAAATTCCGTTCATTTCAGCTGCACTTACTGGATCTGGCCTTGCACTCGGTTCTGGGAGCCCCAAAAATGAATGAGACCCCATTGTAGCTGTCAAGGAAGGACAGTCTAGCAGGACTCACTGGCAAGTCCATCCCTTGAGGCAGCCCCTGTCACCTCTCTGTGAGTAATTTGTTGTGTCACTACCGTATGGCCTACAGAGAAGATGCACAGCATAAGAAGCCTGTAAGTACCAGATGTGAAAAGGAGCATGTAGCCCAGGTTACCTCATCATCTCTGTCGTAGGATTCTTTCTCTGGCTCCCACAGAGGCATCGCTGGAGGAAGCGACACAGCTCCATCAGGCAGGGGTTGAGCTTCTGCATAGCCAGGGTGACAGGAGCAGCTGTCATGGTCCCCTCTTTGAGGAGCGGGTGAGGACACCCTAGAAGATGCAACCTCAGAGCAGTCAAACCAAGAGGAGTTCAGCAAACAGCTTCCCTTGGTTAAGGTTTGTGCTGGGTCCAGATAGCCTTGCCTATTCTCAGGTGACTCTGAGACGGCAGTAGACAGAGTGTGGCTTCATCATTGCTATTTTGAGAGTTTCAAGAGTTAGGTAGAGAAGAGGAAGGGACCAATTTCCTGCAGGAAACCAGAAGTAGTTTTCCTGAAGTATGCAGTTGACTCTAACAGGCTAGATGAAAATGCATCAGGTGGAGGGCATTTCTGGTGGAAGGGATGGCTTGCTAAGGAGAAATGGAGAATGCTGTGAGTCCGAGGTGATGGTGTATGTGTGCATGTGTGCACTTCAGCGTGCGCAAGGAAGAGGGAAGGAAAGTGCAGGTGAAAGATGAAACTGGCAAGCCAAGCCACTGGAGAACTGGACTCTGGGTTTGTTGAAGATTAGTTATATTGCAGTGAGTCAGAGTTTCACTGGTTTTTAATACGTGGATTTTAGAAGAAGAAGTAAAATAATGAGAAGAATTTTAAAAAATATATTTCATCTCTGGGGTCTCCTGAAGATAGGACAGCTTCCTATGACCATACCTGTGCTTCCTTAGGTGGAAACTAACCAGACGCATATTATACAGGGTGGCTGGGAAGATTGAGTGACTCAGTTTCCACAAAACATACTTCATAGTTCCTGCCACTCAATGATCAATAAATAATAGCTATTATTAATCCTGTTAATTAAAACTTTAAGAGGCATCTGCCAATAGATACTAGAGATGTAATAATGAATAAGAAGGAAGACAGCCTTCCTCTCACAGAGCTTCCTTAGAGTGACCTACAGGTTGTATCAGGATGTTAATAATAGTCATACAGCCAGGGGTCACCAGCACTGTAAGAAAAATTATGTCTCAGAATAGGCAAAGAAAACTTGATGTCCTTTTAGTGCAGTTTTGATGATTGTCCAGCAGACCCTCTATGGATTATCCGGCTACATGGGTTGTGCACCTTTGACAGACACCCTAAACACAGAGTTGACCGCTCTGGAGGGAGAGAGGTTAATTGATAGCTATTATTCTTGCCTGAAAGCAGTGTGAATAATTCCTGTCTATAGCACTATAAACAAATTTTGCCTGATGAATGTACAATTGATAAAGCTATGAGGTATAGAATAATCTTTATAAATTCCATTCTGTAAGTTTCCTGTTTAACCAGTGTTAACATCTCCCTGTTTAACCAGTGTTAACATCTCCCTGGTTTCCTGTTTAATGAATGAGTTGAACGATATCATTGACATGTTGATTTGTGTCCTTTCTATATTTTATGTCTGTTTTACAGTTTAAAAATTATAATTTATCAATAATATATTTATTAAGTGGAAAGGGAGTGCACAACATTAGTGAAAGACTTTACAAGAACATTTTATCCTGAGTCAAACCTGTCAGGACACTGACCTGTTTCCATCAGTGTGTCAAGGCATTTTTTGCTACTATTTATTGAGTACCTATTAAGAATCAGGTACTTTCCTACACTCTTTATGTGTATTGTCTCATTTAATTCTTATAAGAACTTAGAATGTAGATATCTGTGGTGCTATGTTACAGAAGAGGATGCTGAGGGCCCATGTGACTGCATCGGAGTCCCTAATACAGTAGGAAGAGCGTCTGAGTCACCCGTCCTTCTCCAGCCCAGGAACAATGCTCGGGAAATTCACTGTCCTTCCAGTCTGGTCTGATCTTTGGTTCCCTCTTGATGTTTGCTGTGCTCTCCCTATGTCCTCTTGATTCTGTCTCTGAATACCATCTGAGTAGCCCTATCTGCACAGTCACCTCCTAGCTGCAGCCCATCCTTACTGGCTGTCCTTAGCACAAACACTTCCTCACCACTTTCCCTGCTCTCAGCCTCTCCCCTCTGCAGCCACAGAAATCCCTCTGCAGCACAGATCCAGACCCACAGCTGTCTGTTGCCTCAGAAGAGGCCATGCTCTTTGAGGGGTGGCCAGCCTTGGTGATTGTACCTTTGCCAACCTCTCCTGGTGTACACCATACAGCTCTCAACCAGCACAACTGCAGCCACAGACCACTCTTTTGTTCAAGGTAGCATCAGTGCTTCGGGGCCACAGTACCTTTGCTTAAGCTAAGCCTCTGAGCGGGCAGACTCTGGAGTGATCCCTCCCACCAGCAGCCATCTCTCTCTGAATGCACATGGTGTTTACCTTTCACAGTAACCCTACAAGTTCTTCCTTTCACTGTAATTTTTGTGTCTAGGCCACATCTTTGGATAGGTAACATGGAAGGAAGAAATGAGCACAGGCTTCAGCATTAGACACAGCTGAGCTTAATGTTCAGTCTGCACTGGTATTGTAGCTCAGTGGTAGAGAGCTGGCTTAATGTGCACAAAGCCCTGGGTTCAATCTGTATTACCATGAGACAACACAAAACTCTTACGTCTCTTCTTATCTGCAGGGCTCATCTGAATTGCTTACTGAAGATAATGTTATCTACTTGGCAGAATTATTGGATAGAGGAGGTAGAAATAATCCCACCACCATGCCTGACACACAGTGGAAACTCAGGAAATATCCATTAAAGGAATGCATGAGTGATTTAAAAAGACTTTGTGGACAATACCTTCGTGGACGCACAGAATAATTTATTTAAAGATAGCAAACTGCTGTCATTATATCTCTCACTAGATAGATGACAGATGAATGGATACAGATAGAGATAGATAAATTGAGAGCTAGGGATAGATAAAAATGGATAGAAATAAGACATATCTATGAAGTGACAGATGATGGAGCGATGAGTGGGTGGATCGATAAATAGATGGAGACAGGCATTTAGAGATGTAGATTTAAACGATAGAGACAGACACAGAGACAGAGACGCAGATGTAGATGTAGACGCAGGTGTGGCGTCAGCTTGTTCTCTAGAACTCGAGCACCAGCCACTGTGTGTGCCGCCATTGTGTTTGTCTAGAACTCCTGGGGAAGAGACTATAATTTCCTGTGGTGGTGTACTTGTGTCTTAGTGTCTGAAAGCCCCATTCACCATTCACGGCTTTCTGTGCAGGGGGGCCCTGGGAGATCTGAGACGATAAAAACAAGCAGACCGAGTGGCCTCAAGCCAGTTAATAAAAATCTGCTGACGTACAGCTGAACAGTCCAGAGCATTCACGAAACTGGTATAAAAAGGCAGTGGGAGGAGCCTGAGGACCCAGCCAGCCTTGAAGGACTCACTTTGTTTCACGTCCTTTCTTAGGGAAACTGGCCAGCAGAAGAGAGGACAGTGAGACATACAAAAAAGGTGAAGAAACAGCAAAACCCAAAGAAAGTCAAGTTTCAGGGGGTGCTGAAAACAGCTACAGGTTCAGTGTTTTTTCCTTAGATCCACGAAAATTAAGGAGGCAGGGATGGATTGAGCAGAATGTTCCTTAAGAGAGAACCATAGTAAGTCACACCCAGCAACTAAGGCTTGGGGTTGGAGTTGTCTTTCTTTCCTCCCCTCCCTACCAGCAACCATGCCTGTCCTAGAGATAGCTGCCAGCCACATGCAAAGTGCCAGCATCTGCTCCACAGATGCTCAATGAATAAAGTTGACTGGATTAAATTACACGAAGCCACAATCCCAGACCACTACCAAAACACATTATCTTGCTTGATACAAAAGCAGGTGGAAATGAAAAAAACACCAGATGATTCCAGGGCTCACATCATTGAAACCTCTTGCTTTATAGTTGAAGAAACTGCATCCTGGGAGCTGAATTGTGGAAGCCACCTAGCCAGTAAGTGGTCGAGCTGAGATTTGCATCCTAGCTGTCTGACTCTAAATTTACCAGACAAGCCTCTCTTTGTTACACTGCCCAACCTCCTTCAAAATAAACGTGTGTGAAAGCAATGATGGGACACTGCTACTCACTTGATGCTTGGAGGGGAGCTGGCACCGGGGCTGGTTGTTTCCCAGGGGTGGGTGGCCACTCTGCAGGGGCCTCACCTGCAGGAGGCAAGAATAGCTTTCAGCAGATCAAAACAAGACGACACAACCAGAGAGCTGCAACCATTCGGGACAAATAGTTCTTGAAATTGTAGCCAAGGGGAAGTGATTTGTCCAAGTTAAGGGAATGCAGCAGCACAGCAAGGCTCACGGCCCCCATTCTCCTGCCTCTTGTCCTGTGCACATTAATAAGGTCCATCCCTGGCTTCCTTTGTGCACTGGCACCCCCATCCCTCTGTGTCCCTGTCCCCATGCTGTGCGTTTCCCCTGTGGCAATGGGTTGCTTTTTCCAGCAGTGTGTTCTCACCTGTTTGCAGGTCTTTGGGGGCTGGTGCCTTGGTGGGATTCAGAGTCTGTGTGCTAGTGGTGACCATTCCTGGGATGCAAGCAGAGAAATGTGAGCCTACGCCCCTTCACTGGAGATTATGCCTCATGCTGCCCCTCCGGCTCCAACCCAACCAGCGGGCTCACTAAGCCAGACACCGGAGGGTGCTAAGGATATGGAAATGAGCAGGAAACAGAGCCCACCTTGCAGCTGCTCCAGGTGTAGACAAGGGAGGAGTGAAGTCCACTAGTAGGGTAGGACAGTGTGAGGGATGTCCCTGGGACCAGCTGATGTCAGTGAGATGTGTGGGAGAGGCACAGGATTAAAGGTGTGGAGCAAGAAGTGTGCAGACTGGGGGCTTCTGGGCAAAGGGAAGTGGTCTTGGTGTACACACAGACCCCATCCCAACCCGTCACTGGCCATCAATTATTTTCATGATAGACCATGGGCTCAGCTCAACAATATTTTAGAAATCATATTCATAAAGTCTTGGTTTAAGGACCACTCAAAACCAATGAAGCAACCTTTCTGTGGGGAACAAGGGTGGGGATTAAACAGGTGCTGCCTCTGTGGGACCAGAAGAGGGGAAAGGAGAGCAAGGCCGAGGAACAGCTGCGGCACAGTCAGCAGGTCCCGGTTCAGATCGAGACAGGCCCGCAGGCCAGGAAGGAGAAGGGGCTCCAAGGCCTGAGCCAGAAGAGGACGGAGAGGGGTGGGAGGCTGGTGGAGGGTCAGGCAGCAAAGCCTGGGCTCCAGCCCACAGAGTGGAAAACTCTTCACTCGTGCTCAGTGCAGGTCTGAGGGTTTTGCAGTGGTGAGCTCACAGGGCCTTGCCCTTTCCATTTTTTTCTTTTGAGACAGGGTCTCACCACCAAGTCACCTAATTATCCAGGTTGGCCCTGAATTTACAAGCCTCCTGCCTCAGCCTTCCTGAATGCTGCAATCACAGTGCATGCCACCATATCCAGCCAGTGTCTTCTCCACATTTCCCTGGAGACTACAGTATCCTTAAGGCTTGCTTCATGTAGGTGTTTCTGTGCAGTTCTGAAACCGAGCAGCCTCAGCCACAGCCCGGCACAGAGTTACTAATCTATGATTGCTCCTAACAGTCTGGCTACAGGCCACAGAATCGAGGATCAGCAGGAAAGGGACCCCAGGCAAAAGCATGTAGGTGCTCTCCACTAGCCACAGTGGCCCTGGGCGTGGACAGGCTAGTGGATAGGCCATTGACCTAGCACTTCCCAGGTGCTGCACACTGAGCCCAGAACCTGGCAGGCATCCCCTACCTGTGCCATCACGGCAAGTATGACATCTTCAGTTCACTGATGGGAAAACAAGGACACAGATAAAGGAAGCTGCCTATGAACACTGTGTAGGCATGTGTGTATTCGCTCATATATGAATCACGCCTGACAGTTCTTCTTCCACTGTGAGAATTGATGCTGTCCTCATTATTTATCATATTTATCATATAAATATATTATTTATACATGTGGGATGAATGCACACGTCAAGTTAAATAGTACACACACAGTGCACAAGTCATTAACCTAATCCAAAAGGCTGTTGACTGTCTGGAGTGAACAGCGTCACTCTTACTGGGCACTACTTAATGGACAGTGAAATGAGGAAAAGAAAAATCGGGACGTGAATGTCCATAAACGATAGAGGAGGGGGGAGACTCTTATGAGGAGGAAGTGTCCATTCACTCACCCAGTCATTCAAAAATGAGAAGAAAGGGGGGAAAAAGAATAAATAAAAGGAAGACAAAATTTGCTTTCTAATCACTAATTGCATTGCTCCCTTATATATGTGTGTGTTATTAGCAAATATATAATATTTCAAAATTTAAAAAACAGATAGTGCTAGATTTAACTGGAAATGGGAGGAATAGAAGCAGAGCATCCTCTCTTACCTGAGGCAGGGCTGGACTGGGCTGGGCTGCTGGGCCTGGCCATTATCCCAGCAGGTTCTAGAAAGCGCTGTGTGCTCTTGGCCTGCTGGGCCTCTGCAGATGTTGATGTAGAGGAGGGAGTTTCCCAGGGAGGCCCCCCAGGGGTTTTCTCTTCCATAGCCTGAGCCCTAGGCGTGGACAGCTTAGAAGCCCATGTCTGTCTGTCCGTGGTCACCCGTGGTGTTCCAGTCACTCTCCTGGTAGCTGCACATCCAAAGCCACAGTCAACACTCAACCATCCTGACTCATGTATGAAACTGCAGAACAATGGGAATGCCATGAAGGAAAAATTCAATCTGAGGGCTTGAACTTTACCTACACCTGGAATAAAAGACCAAGCGAACCTTGTTCCCTAAACACCACATTTTATAAAATCCTCCAAATCCCTTGGACATGCAGTCCACTAGGGTATGTATTAGGGGCAGGTAGGCTCTGTGTCAAATTTATAAAATCCATTTGTAATCATGTGACATGGCGGACAGATGGTGTGGCTTGAGGTGAAGAGGTCTGGAGACATGAACGGTGAATTTTGAGGCAAGTTACTCTTTCAGCTGTATCATTAAACTGAAGGATAATACAAATAATAATTCCTTTCTTACACCACTACAGGAGTATCACCAGCTAGGACAAGTCTTCCCAAATTGACCTTTTAAAAATTCTTAAATGATCTACCTGTTCATTCCTGTGGGAGAAACTACCATCATCCTTTTCAAATTTTATATAACTACTCCCTTTGGAGGATTTTACATCTATAAGATGGGAAGAATTGCCACCTTTAGACCATTCGTATTTCTCATTCATAAGATGGTGCATCCATTCATGTATTTAAATATTCCTAAACAGTAAGTCTGACTCAGGAACATTGGAGTTGCAAACTTTCACAGGTGTTACTGTGTAAGTCGCTCTTCGTTGGACTCCATTAGCTTTCTCCTGGGACAGAGTTTGTTCATAAGTCGGGGAATTACTGTGATGCTCTTATTAACATTTTAGTTTCCCTTGTATAAAAAGCACTCTTCCTTTTAAGGTTACAACTAGGCATTTTATGAGTTTTCTTGTCTCTAGCAATCGCACCCTTTTCTATATTACACTGGAAAGTTTTCTAATTTTGTATCACTGTCATGATGCCAGCTATTGTGCAAACATTTTGTAGCAAATCTGAAAGTTTCCTAGCTTGTGAAACTGATTCCAGCTCCTCTCCCTCCCCCAGTCTCTTGTCTCCTTGCCTGCCTGATGCCTGTCAGTTCTCACCTCCCAAGTACAATAGCTTTTCTGTGACTGCATCATGACCACAGTTACCTGCCTGTGACTCCTTTCTGCTCTGTGAGCTCAGGGAGGACAGGAAATATTTACCAAGCTGTGCTGTCACCAGCTAGCCTAGTGGTAGAAACAAATTCATGTTTTGATGAGCGATTGAGGGAGTGGCTGAATTCTTTTTTGTTGTTTGTTTTTTGTTTTTTGAGACAGGGTCTCACTATGTAGTTGAGACTGACCTGGAACTCACTATGTAGCCCATGCTGGTTGCAAACTCACAGTGATCCTCCTGCCTCAGCCTCCAGAGTGCTGGGATTACAGGTGTGCACCACCACGCCTAGCTTGGGAGTGGCTGAATTCTAATGGTGCTGATTGTTTATTGGAGCAGACAGTATTGACTCTTAATGAAAGAGGTGACTCAGGTTTCTATGACTGTATTTCCAAGCAGGAAACAAGAGGTTAGTAATGCGTTTTGTGTGTGCAGAGACAGCGCTGAGGATCTTGCACAGGACCATGCAGAGGGAGGAGCCTCTTAGTGAGACCCCTGCCACTGAAGTCAAGTCACTGACACAGGTTTCCCATCACTGTCCATCTAGCTACAAATCAACCTAACCATGCTGTGAAGTGGTGCCTCCAATTCACAATTTCCTGTGAATTTCTGGTGGTGGTAGTGGTGGTGGTGATGGGTGAAGGACATCAGGAAACTCAAGTAATTTTTTTCAATTTCTCATGAATCCCAAAGTATTTCAATATAAAGACCATAAGCATAAATGTTAGATTTACACTGTGCCCATCACATGTGTCTCTTGTTTGACCTTATGGAGCCCACACTGGCTCCCAGAGGTCTGTTATTTAAAGAGAGCTGTGGCACAGCATCAGGTGGTGGAGAAGGACAATAGGAAGGGTTTCACTTACTTATGTGAGCTCTTGGAGGGAGCAGGAGAGAAAGCAGCAGAGGTAGGAGATGAGAAGAAGCATCTTACCCAAGGCTGGAAGGGTGGGAGGAGCAGTCCTCCTGGTGGCTGTGGTCCCGGTAGGAAGCTGCTCGGTGCGCTCCGTCGGCTCTCTCACTGAGGCAGTGGCTGTCCCTCTCCAGAGGGGACTACCCAGAGCAGACACTGGGTGTGCAGGGCCTGTCCTCCATAGCATTTGCTGGACTTGGGTTATGGGTTTGGAAGTCCTGGTGGTTTCCCTGGTAGCTGCACCTGCAGGGAGATGGCCAATGGCAGCCTCGGCCGCTTGACAGTTTGGACACTAAGAATAACTGAATCACCAGAAGACCACTGGACAGCCAGTATATGGGATGCTGTGGTCACAGCCTCACTCTGAACAGTATCAAAAGTCACCAAGAGACCTGTTGCTTCTTGAATAACCACTGGAGCCAAAATATTAGTCTCCAAAAATGCTGTGTGATGAACTATTGTAATCAAAGGCAGAGTTGTTGGACCTATACTTTCAATGTGTGTCTTGCTCAGCCCCTGAGCTGTGTGAGCTTCTTTCAGCCATTTAACAACCCTGTGGCCACATATGGCTGCAGGCTTTGTCTCTGGAAGAGCAGCTGGGCACCTCTGTGCGCTCTGCAGGTACAATAGGAAGCGGAGATGGAGTTTGGGGGACTCGAGGCAGACAATATTAAAAATGTGGGCCATGAAGAAAGAAGGGTAGATTTTAGAGAGAAATATAACCAAATGCTGCTGTTTGTTCTAGGAAGAAGAGAAAGAAGCTCAGATGTTAATTTTTCCCTGGCCCTTCCCCAGAGATAGGTGACGTGAAGGTGGGGTGGGAGCACGGACATGAGGACGAGAGACTTGTGCTGTCTCATAGATCTTTTCCTCCAGACGGACAAACACTGGCCTGCAGCCTGTGCTGGATTCCATCTGCCCTTGTTCCTGCTCAGAGACAGATGATCTGTGCAACTGCAAAGGGGTGCCCTGCAGCTAGGTGATGGCCTACAGCTCAGTGCCTCTCCTGCCTTATTTTTGGGCCCCTAGCACTCGCTGGTCTTCACCCTGCTCCTGGACTAGTTGATGTAGAGCTAAGTGTATCCCAAACGGTCACCAGCCAGATAACTGACAAACAGGTACAACATTATCAGTGTCAATTTGTAAGTACATTCTCCCTTCCCACGCATTTGTCCTGATTGAAAGAGCACCACAGAGGAGACAGAATTGGGATTAGGAGTGGGAAGGTCACAGAAAGACTCCATCAGTCAATGAGACTGACTCAGCTCTCAGATCTGGCAGAAAGGGCAGCCCAGTATATGCCCATTTAATCTGCTTCTCAATTGGCCTTGTCTCGTATAAAGCGAGACTCCTTTCACAGCATAACCAAGAGATGCTTTACAATAAATAGAAATCAAAGTGGCACCCTGAAACAGAATGGGGCATTCACTGTGCTTCAAATTTCACTCCAAGAAAGGCCGGCAAAGAGCCTACTATGAACCAGGGATGGTGTGAGGCACCAAGAGGGAGACAAACTGTGGTCTCAAAGGAGACTCTACCACCGTCTCCAAGCACCACTCATCAAGGAGATGCCCATGGATGCTACTGTGATACAGCCCGGAGCAAGGCAGCATCCACATGTACAACTGCTGTGCTGTAGGAGCAAAGTGCACAGAAGTAGGTGGAATAGATATTGACTGGAAGCTCTTCAAGAAAGAGGAGGTGGAATCTGAGCTGGCAGAGGGCAGCAGACAGTGTTCTGCTGCATGGAAGGGTAGGAAGAAGCTCCAGCTCACATGAGCAAAGTCCTGTGGAGGTCCTGGAGATGTCTGCCATCTCCAAGCAGGGAAACGATTTCAATCCAGAGATACCCAAGAACTCAAAGGAGAAGGGACAAAGATGTAGGGGCTTGTGGGCTCCAAGGCAGAGAAATGTGGACTCCAGGTTAAGACTTGGGACTCTCTGCTGCTGATCCTGGGGTTCTGGTCAGTTAGGAAACATCAGCCAAGTGGAATTTGAAGATCATAGCTTTCGCGGTAGTGGGTGGCTATCTTAGGGAAAGAGGAGAGTGTAACGAAAGGTGTTTGTTCTGAGGCCAGTGGGGATTAAGGTAGATAATGAGGACTTGACCAGGATCCTCAGGGCCAGGTAACAGCCAGATGCAGAGACTTTATTCAGTTAAAATGCCAGCTAAGGGCAAGGGAGAAAGGGACCCTATAGGTGAATGCAAAAATGCTACCTAGTGACAGGGAAAAGATGGGGCGGGTATATGTGTGGGGTGGGTGGATGTTGAGTAGATGCTGGATATTATAGAGTGGCAGTGCCTCTAGAATGGGATAACAAAATCCAATATTTGCAAGAGTTATTTAGTACAAAAAACAGTGCACAAAGAGATACGGGCCAGAGGGGACAGTGGAAAGTAGGGAAAAGGTGCCCCTCTTAGTGGAGAAAGAGACACAAAACTTGTTCAGCTCCAGTTACTTGTTGCCACAAGGAAGAGGGCCCAGGGTGGCCAAACCATTTTTTTCTTTGCAAAAGACTCCAGAAATCCGTATATATATGAGCATATATATATGGTGAAATCCCCCAATTTTTAACACATTCTAACTAAATACACATAAAATGCCTGAAGGCTCCAGAGGGATTCAGGAGATTTGCACCCACCTAGAACACCAGACACACTGCTCATAAACGTGTAGTTGATGACAGGGGATTTCTCTGCCATCTCCCAGAAGTCAGAAAGATTCCTTCCTGCAAAAATCACACCAGAAGCATGGACTCTTGTGTTCAAGTGCGGAACGGTCCTCCTGGAGAGCTTGGCAAGGGCACCGCTGCTCACCTGCCTTCCCAGCCATCACGCAGATGAAGATGCAGTCAGACTCATCGGTGTGACTCACTGTGGGATGAACCAGGACACAACAGGGTTTAGCCATAAGCCTGTAGCTTGAAATCTTTGGTTGAAATGAAAGCAAGGCTGGAAGTACCTAGGTCAGGAGGGCACTGGAAAACAAGACTAACTCCTTACTCCAGCTGCAGATCTGAGTTTCTGGTTTCTTTTTGGTTTGTTTGGCAGGATGGAGGAAGAGGAAGGTGGTGCAGGCTAGTGTGATAGCTAAGAACACGGCCTCTGGGTCAGTTTCTGCCACTTCCTAGCTATGTAACACACAAACAAGTGAACTACTCGACTTCTCCAGGACTCCACTTGACCATCTTTAAAATGGTGAAAACTTAAATCCTTTAATCTTATATTTGCAGGTCCTAAATCCCCAGATCTCTGGAGCTGGAAAGCTTATGAGTTTGGTACCACTATTCATTGGGTGGCAACCTCTGACTTGTCAGCCATGAGGCCGATTAAGTCTTTATCCATTCCACCTCAAGGGCCAACCGCTGTGCTAAACGAGTGGTACTGTGTTTGCTTGCAGCAGGTTTCCCTGGACATTGGCAGAGATGTATCAGTATGCGGTAGCCACTCGAGCTGACTTTCAAAAATTGAACACTTCTGAGTTCCTAGACAAACTTGTCCCTGAGGATGCTGCTTAACAGGTGGTAAATGTAAGGCAGCAGGTTCCTTACAGGGTCCAATGAGAAATGTGTGTGGAGCGCAGACAGCCAGAAGGGCGTGGTGAATGGTCATATGCTAATCACTGTTATTGCTCATGTGCTACAGTTTGTGTAGTAACCAAAGAATGAGCTGAGAGCCAGATTTCCCTGATTACAGTTCTATCTCTGCTGAGTACTCTGAGGCAAATTACTGACCACAGTTTTCTCACCTGTAAAATGGGAATAAATGCAGTAGCTCCCCTGTGAGAGTGTAGCGAGAATCTAATGAAGGAATGCATAGGAAGCCCTTAGGAGAATCCCTGAAACCTGATGGGACCTCTTGCGGCTTCCCTCTCCCTCTTTCCAGCTTACGCTCTTCCACAGTATAAAAAATCATCTTTCTGCTGAGATCGACTATTGGGCTGTTGTCTAGATCTGTGTTTTTCAAAGCATGTCCCTGGGGAAATGTGACTCACTTGGGACTTTCAAGAAGGCCCTTGTAAACAAGGTGCATCTTTTCAAACTCCAAGCAGACAAGGAGGCTCCACAGAGATCTGAGCAAAATGATCACCTTCCCTTGATCTCACTGTGCTTATCTTTCAAAGTGGGAATCCAGCCCTGCACCAGATGCTGTTTCCTCAAGCCTGCCTTTATCTCCTAACTCTAGTGTTGGATTTGTCCTTTGATTTCCTGGATCCCAGGAGTAGCTCTGATTGAAAGATGGTACCTTCAAGGACTGTGTTAGAAACTAGACCACCCTGGCTTGTCATCTAAGGAGGGCCACACAAGATTTCCCAGCAGCCAGATCTGCCCGGGGAAACGAACCCTGTGTGGCTTTAGTCCATGGGCCCCTTCCCTTACCGTACCTGAGAGGAGGGAGGTGGACCTGAAAACCTCTGTGAGGGAGCCAGTGGAGTTCTCCACAATATCCACCAGGAGGGCTGTGAAATCTGCAAGACAGATGGGAGGTCTTGTTCTGATTCAGAGGCTGAGGAAAGGTGTTGCATTTGGGTTTTCCAGTATAGTTTTGACAAGTTTGGTTTAGTTCAATGTATTGAGTAATATTAATAATCCTATCGAGAAAACCTAATTCTGAAATGAAAATAAGAGGTCAATTTCAAGCAGACATGAAACTTTGGGATTCTCTGTTGTCATCTTTTTTTCTTTCATTACTCTCTCCCCATCTCCCTTCTCTATTAACATCAGAGAGCTACAAAAGGTTGCACTGTTGAATAATGTTTCTTTTTCCATCACTTCATTTAATTATTTTAGAATACAAAATCCACATGATAGGAAATGACCCACATATGCATAACTATAATTCTTGGCATTTCAAAATGCAATGTCAAATTTAGTAGTGGATTATATACTACAAACTCTCCTAAGGGATAGACCTTTAAGATACCCCCAGGAACTTCTGGTCACTTTAAGAGGGGTAATGGAAAAGTCTGGGAGATTTTTATAGCATTTCAGGTTGGAGAGCATTTGATAACTTTCTCTCTGAACAGGGATAGGTTAGGACCATTGACCAACATGGTGGGAGCCACTGACTGGGAAAAATTCCTAATCTACTTCTAATCAAACAGCTGCCACCTCCTTCTCTACTCATTTGAGGCTTTCCAGGACCCAACACATTCTTGTCTTCCAAAACAAGGGGGATATTATTGTAGAAGCTTCAAATACTGATTTTCTAAGGGGATCACTAGATGATTTCCCATCTTGCCTTTTACAAGTACATATACTTATACAAGTACATATGCTTCTTTTACTACGGTATTATGGATTTGGGCTTGAATGAGCTGACTTGAAAACACAGAACCCAGAAAGACAGGGAAAGTTCATTTGCAATCCATGGTTTGTGTAAGCAGCATGATCAATGGGCTGCAGAAATTACTATGTGTGAGCCAGAGCTCTGATGTGATATTACAACATTTGCAGAGAAATACATTAGCCTCCTGCAGGCAGAAGAAGTGGTACACCTATGCAGGTGCACACAGGTGTCCACTAGAAGGCTGGAAAGTGTAGGCACCCCCCTTTCTAAGTCATGTGGGTTAGACTTAAGAGTAGTAGCACTGACCTCATCACTTTCTCCATTTATGTCCTTTCTATTTCTCAAACATCTCTTTGCGTATCAATTAATGCATCTAATAAATATTCACTGGATGTTTGCACAATGCCAGACACCTGCTATGTCCCGAGAAAGTTACTGAGAGAGACAGACTCATAAGCGGTCCAATCAGTCCATTACTAAATATTTTTGCACAGAAGCTACGAGCAAGGTATGGGAGCCAGACACCAACAATGGAACTGGGTTCTGCTGAAGGACCGGAGAGAAGAGGGGACCTGCCAAGGTCCTGCAGTATGTGGCAGAGCTGAGGTCTGCCTGGGCCAAGGCTTCCCTCCTCCCAACAGCCCCATTCCCACTTCTGAGCATGCATTCTCTTGCTCAGCACCTGCTGGCAACTTTCCTCCAGGAGCCACTGTCCCATCTGTTTATGAGACTTGGAAAAAGACCAGTCATCATGGCTTCAAAGGTATCCTTTGTTTTGATGAATCCATCCAATTTGCTAACGTTGCACAGAGATGAATTCTTTCTGATTATCTTCATGTACAAATAGAAGCTAAGGAAAACCTTTTTATCTTGTGCCAACCCACTTGGTAATGATTTAAGACTTTCTCTTACTACTCAGTGTCGGCAGTGGTGTGGGAAAATTGATGCATTCAAACTTCGCCAATAAAAGTGTAAATTTGTGAAAGATTTCTAGAAGGAAAGTTAACAGTTTGAGTCACCACAAAACTGTTTGCCTGCCAGCTAATGATTTTCTTTTGAGGGCTTTAACCTGCAGTTGCACTTGGGCAGGCACTGCAAGCGTTTCTGCACAGGTGTTCCTCGCATCATTGCTCGTAAGTGTAAAAATATCACGAATAAGCTATGTGTTCACCACTGGGAGACAGATTAAATATCAAATTAATAACTTCTTTCGATGACTACCATGCATTCATATGAAAGAGGAGGCATATTTGTACATTTGGAATGGATCCGTTTCAAGATGTACTCTTTCAAATTCCTCTAGTAACAGAACATCAAATTGGGTAGATGGTGGTTTAATATAATAATTACACTTTCAAGCTTGCTTTGCAGGCTTGTGCAGCCATGCTACCAAATTCTAACCAAGGGAATGTGAGAAAGAGAAAAGTGAACATTTCTATGCCATGCGTATATATCAAATGGGCTTGCCTTCCGATTCCTTCCTCCTTTCCTTGCAGCTGAAGCTGGAGGGAAACACCTTATAGAAGGCAGACCACAGACCAACAGGGTGGAAGGAGCCTGGGAGCCCCACCCTACCATCAAACTTTCAGGTCTGCTAACGTCATCACATAGTCATCTCCACTTCCTGGATACAGGCTGCTTTGGGCCACTCGTAGCAGTCCAGCCTACCTTCTAAAATGTATTTCTGTGTATAAAGGATAGATGGGGAGGTTGGAGAAGTAGGTTTTTGACAGGAGGAATGAGCAGGTTAGCTGGGTCGCTTAGATAGCCTTGCAATAATGTCCATCAAACATAGAAAGTGATTACCTATGGATGTTGGAGCATCAGGTAGTTTGGATTTCCTGGTTATACATGTCCATGTTGCATAGCATGTTGAAAACACAGTGCATTTTTTTTTAAGTCGAGAAGATTTAAATCACTCCATTTAAGGGAAGAAGGAGAATAGATGTAAATATACATTCCAGGGAGGGCAGTATGTTAGAAATGAAGGTATTCAAAAGAAAATGATCTGAAGGTTACCCATAAAGAGATCTTGCTCAAAGATTTTGAGTAATGGTCAAATGTACAGGATCTCATCATAAAAATCAGAGGGGAATCAACGCCAGGCGTGTTGCTCCCTGTAAAATTGTGGGGCCATCACCGTGCTGTACCAGGGCATGGCAGGCGACTCACCCATGGATGATGAGCTAAAGGATGAATTCAGACAGCTAGTTCAAGAATGTAGACACATGTTCTGCCTCGTGGAGCAGCACTGTAAACTTTCCCAAGGTAGATGGGAGTTCTTAAATTTTATTTTTATCTTTTACACACTGGGCAAGGGATTCAACCAGCACAAAGCTTGGAGCTCAGCAGGACTTAATGATCTGGCAAGAAAGATGCAATTACAAAGAACTTTCTTCCCTTCAAACCCTCAAATGTATTTTTTTAAATGTATTTTTTGATAAGACTTACAGGGTGCATTCAGTAAGATAGCAGATATCAAGTACTCAGTCTGGTAAATAGTACTGGTATTACAGTAAATGTTAGTAATTATTATCTTTAAACTTTTCAGTGTTTGATTTAGAAATTCCGCTTTGGGGAATCCATTTTCATAAAAGCATCTGAAACAAGAAGTTTTATATACTAAGACATGCAGGATTATTTACATTATAAGAAACCTAGAATTTACTCAGAAGCACGACTGCAGCATGCTAGGAAAATGCTTGCATGCACAGAGTACAGAGCCATCGCAAATACAGAGAGCTTTTAAGGCCATGGAAGATGTTTTAATGTTTTGTTAGGTGGGGGCAAAAGAACTGGAGGCTCTGGCTGCCTTTGGCCCTTGCTTTGCTCACAATCTACTCTTTCACCAGCAGTCAGAGCAGTCCTTCTATGTCTCAGTTGAAATCTTGTTGCTCCTCTGTGCAAACAATCACTCAGCTTCCTTGTGATTCAGAGTGAAAATTAAAATACTCGCGATGGACCATAAACCTATGTATGACCTGGGCTGCAAACTGCCCACCCTGCCCTCGCTTGAATTCATTTCTCACGATTCTGCCTTGCTCATCTGCTCCAGCCACACGGGTCTCTCAGGCCTCACTGCGCTGCCCAGGCCTTCGCCTGGAGCACTGTTCCAAGAAACACAGTGCTATCCCCACTTCCGAAGACCACACCTCGTTTCCTTAAACAGCTCCCCACCACTCAACACGGACGCATTCCCCACTGTCACATCGTGTCTCTTCTTCCCCTTCCCCTACCTTTTGGCCCACGGTCAGGATATTGATTCCTGTGTATTTGCAGTTTACTTTTCAACTTTTTGTCCCTCCTTTAGAATCTCAATTCCATGCTACCAAGCTTGTGTCAGAGTTGCTTAGAGCAGGATCCTGCATGTGCTCAGTAAAGAGTTGGTGAATGGATGAATTCATGGCTAGAGAGTAATTTTTACTCCTGATTTTCAGGATGCTCTAAATATAAGGCATGTGTAATACCTGTGATGTTTAATTATATGAGTAACTCATGAACTCACTTTCAGTGAAAAAGAAAATTCTAGTAATACAATTGCCCTCCATTCCGTAGTTTTCCACTAAAACTATGGGCCCCATTTTTTCAAAAGTCAAAATGACCATAAAGGGTAAACATTTCCAATCGATTCAGGACACGTAGGCAGCCATAACACCACAACTGAAGACACTCGTGAAAGAGGACTTCCCGAACTGCTTCAGAAAGTGGCAACCATGTGGGAGAACCATGTTGGAAGCAAGGGGGAGTTCTCTGAGAGGAATAAATGGCAACATATCTTTTAGTTAATTTTTCGGTAAAAATTGAAACACTCACTGTATGTTTTGGTCATAACTCTTATAGTAGACTGCTTCATTTGTTCCTGATTTTACAATGAAAAAAATGCTTTATGAACACTTTTTCCTCTTCCCTTTTGTGCACTCAGCTACTTCTCAATGGTAAAACAAAGATAAAGAAACTTTCTGGACCAATGAATGGTTGATATTTAAGCATAGTAGACATCATTGTAATGTTCTATCTTTCCATGAAAACAAAATATGTATACAAAAAGGCACAAGCTAAGTTGTAAACACTGCAAGGCTCATGGCTGGCTCTACCCACCTGACACGTCATTGGTACGATTATTGAGACAGTAGCAGAATCTTGTGGGGAATTTGGCTGGGTCCACTGTCTTCAGGTTAGAAACTGCGAAGAGAAAGGATTTACACAGCGATCCTGACACCTAAATTACCCTGCAGCCCTTTGCCCACCACTGGAGGAGCCAGCCTGTACTCACTGTTGTAGACAGCCACGGAAACCTTGTGGAAGGCGAAGGAACTATAGGAGCTGATGCTCAGCAGGGAGAAGAACCGCCTGCTCTCTGTCCAAAGGAAGGGAGGAAAGGAAACAGATACCAAATACCTGCTAATGAGGCAGTACAGAACCCATACTAAAACAAGGAAGCAGGTAATAGAAATGAACAGCATTCTAAACAGATGACAAAAATGAACACCAAAGTGACAAAAGTTAAAAACAAGAAAAAGAAAAACAAGCTGAAACAAGAAATACAAAACCAAAGCAAACCTTCTTGACCAGATATTCTATCCAGAAGCTCTGGGAACTTCCTAAGTAAGAGTCCTAGGTGTGCATTTAGTCTCCTGAGGCTGCCATAACAAATGTCCTCAAACCTGGTGGCTCAAACAGCAGAACTCAGGCTTTCATAGGAGGCTGGAGGGAATGCTAATCTAGAAAGGTGGGAATGTCCAGGATCCTGAATTGCAATGAACCCCTTCTGTAACTTTTATTTATGTAAATTGTACCCTGTGGGGACAGGAGTTACGATGGCTGAAACTTTGGGTTTTGGTGCATTCAAATCTCCCATGGAGCCCATTCTGCCTCAACTTCTTGGAAATAGCTCCACAGGGCTGATGCCATACACTGGGTAAAGCCTAGGCTCTGTGCTTCCTAAGCTCTTTGGGAGAATGAAGCATGCACCAAAGCTTGAATATCCATGACTCAGTTTCCTCTGATGATAAGCATCATCATTGCCACTTGGTAAAATGCACATTTAGGCCCCAGCTAAGACCAATTTAGACAGAATGCCCAGGGTGGAGGTCTGGGAGCTGCACTGTGTAATAAGTGCTGCAGGTGCTTCTTACCATGCAGCAAGTTTGGAAAGCCTTGGGCTAGATCATGGGCTTGGGCTAAACTGACCTGAATTCCAGTCTCAGTGGCAATGGTGATGCTTCATTTTCCCCAACTGATAGTGGGTCTGATAGTGCCACCTCACGGGGACAGGCTAGGATTAGGTAAGGTCCTAAAGAGGCTGGTCCATGAAGGTAGGAGTCATGGCTTTGGAGTCTCTGCCCCATTCTGCAGCACCTGGTGCAGAGCTCTGCAGAGGAGGGCAGCACTGGGCTAACAGGAGAGCAGGAGTCCTGCCAGGTTAATCTCTCCCCTGTCCTCACAGCAACTGGATCACTCCCAGCCCCACAAGGTAGCCCTAATGATGGCAGCTCTCCAGTTTGCAACAAGACTACAGCATCTTTGAGCAACTTTGAGGCTATAGCTCCAAGCTCCGAAACGGAGAGGGGCTAAGTGAATAGGTATAAAGCCACCATGTAGGGATATGCAGTTTGTATATTGCATGACCCCAGGGAATACCATTCATGTAGGCCTTTGTTTTGAATCAGTATTCCTCCTCTTTATTTTGCATAGTGCTTATCATTTCCTCCTTACTATGCTTACCACTTTTTGTTACCTTTCCACATATTAGAATTTGAGGTCCCCCAGGACAGGGATTTTTATCAGGTCTATTCACTGTTTTACCTTCATACCACAATAGTGCCTGGCAGATGATAAATATTTACCTCTAAATATTTACTGGACAAAGTGGGGTATAAATAATGTAGGAAAAAAGGATTGCACTCTGGGAATCCATGCTGTGCTATTATTTTGCAAAGTTCTACTTCTATGTATTGATCTTCTGACTTTGTTAGAAAATCTTCCCGCACTCATATTCATTATTTGCTACATGGAAATTATTTTCCTAGAAGCTAAAAGGGCATAGAAGATTGGAATGATATTGTAAGCACTTTGTAGGACTCCAATTTTTTTAAAAGAGAGAAACACAGGATCATATTAAGTTAATGAATAATTATTGCTAGTTTGGGCCAAAAGATTTGTGATGACCACTGCCCACTGAGCATATTTAGAGTGTGGTTTGCTTTAGGGATGCTCCTGGACCTCCTGTTTCATACTGGTTCTTTCCATCTCATGATGGGTTAGGTAGGAGAACGTACTCTCTACCCTCAACTCTGGAGGAATGAGACACAGAGGAGAGATGCATCCTGCCCTGATCACAGACAGATCCAACACAGAGGCAGGCACAGAAGAAGAACAGGCCTGCACAGTGTGCACAGGTGGTTACCTTTTAAAGCTCTGCTCAGCATCCTGTTCACGAGCTCGGTCAGGTTAAGTGCTGACAGATCCACAGACCTTGCAGGCAACTCTGAAAGAGATCCAAGGAAGGGGTCAGTGGCAGGCTTTTCCTAGCAGCAGAAAGTTTCCCATGTCCAAACTCCAGGCAGATAAAATTCCTCCTTGGACATGCGCAGAACACATACCAAGTGTCTGGCACAAGAGCTCTAAGGCAAGAGGCAGTTCTTGTCAGGAACTCAGGAGGCAACAGCCAAGTACATGTGGAGTGGTGAAGATAGCAGCACTCATTTCAGTGATTGTTTTAGCTCTGCTTTCTTTTTCTTTTCTTTCTTTTGGTACCAGGGATTGAACTCTGGTCCTTGCAGTTGCAAGGCAGGCAGCAGAACCACTGCGCTAAATCCCCAGCCCTTTATCTCTGCTTTGGAAGAGAGTAGAGATTGATTTGTGGGAAGCCACAAGACATCACAGGGGTTCTCCACAGCTTAAAGAGTAGAAACCAGTACTCTGTCTGGGCATTGTTCCCCAGGAAGAACTTTTCAAAATCCCACAATTTCAATGGTTGTGTTCCATCCTAGCTGTCCTGGACTATGACCCAAACATCAGTTTGGACAAACAGAATCTTTCTGCGTACTGGTAGAGTGCAGCCTTGGGCAGAGACATTGTTGGGTTAAGAGCCCCCCTCTCCTCTCCCAGCTACTCCTTGAAGAGTTGGAAACAACAGGTGACCAGGTGGAAATAGCAGTTGATCTTCTTCTGTGTATTATTACAAGTATTTTAAAAATATTTTTCTTTTTGTTCAGGTAATAATTTGAGAGATGGTGTCACCCCCACCAAGGGGCTTGGAAACAGATGTCCAGGAGAGTGGGTGGATGGTAAGCTGGAGACTCAGCTGTGGAAGCAAGAAACACCAGCCCTTCCTCCTTCTCTCCTGTAAGGACAGACCCTAGGAAGGAGGTTTCCATGAGGGAAATGTAAGTTCCATCTGAGCTCTGGGAGCTGGGAACACTTTGGAGGCTCTGAGGCTCAGCAGTGTAGGATCATTGGGGCCACTGAGAAAGGCAGATCCAGGATCCCCTGAGCTCACACCTCACCTCCAGATTCTGATCTCCTTGGGCTGGGTGTGCCCTAGATACCCACTCTATAATAGCTAAGAAAGTTGATTACAGTGTGGATTCTCTAATCTACCCAACTCCTTAACTTGGTTAGGAAACAGGCTCAGACCAAAGAAGCAACTCGTGTAACTTTGTACAACACATTAATGGTAACCAAGGTGGTGGTTCTAAGCACGGATGCTCAGAACCTGCATCCTAGAACTGCAGAGGAAAGACCGTTCCAGAGCCTCAGGCCCCTTGCCTACCACAGTTGGCAAATTTGCAAGCTATCAGATGAGAAAATGTCAAAGGCAATTTTAAAATATCAAAGGCATCTATTCATCCATTTATCCATTAACTCAACGGATACTCACTGAGGGCCTAGCATTATGCTAGATGTTGGGTGTGAAGAGGTTAACCAGAAACAACCTAGTCTCCACACACAGATTCCTTTTTGTGGCATCAGCAGAAGGACAGTCATAGGGAATGACAGGTGAGGAGCAGCAACACTGAGGACCTCAGGTACTGTGAGCATTGTACCAGGATGGTCACCTGGCCTAGGGGGTGGAGACAGCCTCCTCCTGGGCTCAGTCATCTGGAACTGAAGGAGCTATAATCACACTGCCCGTGCAGCCATCCCTGCTGCCGTGACTGGATTCATGTGTGCTCAGGTGGAAAGGGGCTTTGTGGTCATCTTGCAGAAGGAAGGACCAAGGTACAGAGAACATTCAGAGTGCACTGAACATTCCAGAGCAGGTCAGGGTTTAGGGCTGGACGACTTACCTGTTGGACCAAGCAAAGCCTTGTCTTTTTCCTTCTGAACACCTTCGATCCCAGACACTGGAATAAAAGTCCTCATCAGCCACATGGTACCCTGGAATGCAGCTCACACAACCCACAACATCCTCAGAAATCACCTTGTCCAGGGCTCCCTTGAAGGTGGAGGAAACTGGAACTCAGAAAAGTGAAGGGATGTGCCTGAATCCTGCCTGGGCTAGAGGCTGAGCGAAGACTGAAACACAGCTATCACTCTCTCAGCCCCTGCTACTGTCTCCTACTTTTCACTTCATATCATTTTATTGTAGCAAGAACACTTAATGTAAGACCTACCCCTTCTCTAATGTTTAAGTACCCAGTAAATGATCTTAAGTATAGGCACCATGCAGTACAGAACATCTCTAGAACCTGTTCATCTTGCAAAATTGAAACTTCATACCTGTTAAACAAACTCTCCGTTGCGCCCCCACACACCTGGTGGCCATCTTCCCACTTTGTATCTATGGCCTTGAACTGCTGAGACACCTATGTACTTGAGATATGGCAGTATTTGGCCTGCAGTGACTAGCTTCTTGAGCTTAGAGTGATATCCTCCATATTGCTGAAAAAAGGTGGAATTTTCTTCCTGCTGAAGCTGAATTTTATTCCTCTGTTTGTGGGTATGTACTTTTCTTTATCTGCTCATCCAGTGATGGACATTTAGTCTGTTGTTATGGTTTGGGTTTGGATGTCCCCCGCAAAGTCTCATGTGGTCACAGGAGGCTTTTTCAGAGGTGGCCGAATCTAGAGTGTGTGATGCTGAGGTTAAGGGTGTATGATTACTAAGCTGATTACACTGATTGGTTTGGTATTTCCCTACTCCTGGAAATCTGGATAAGATAAAAGGGACAGAAAGACTGTTAAGAATCCCTTATTGCTTTTACTGTCTTCCTCCACCATGAACTGTTGCCCCTCTGCCATATGCCACCCTATCTTGGAGCCAGGTGATTATGGACTGAAACCTCTACAAACTATTAGCTGAATAAACCTTTCCTCCTTTAACTTTGGATGCCAGGTATATTGTCTCCACAGTGAGAGAAAAGTAACTAAGACACCTATCTCCTCTGCTTTTCAAGTACCCTGTTGAAACTGGGGTCAATCAAATTTCGCCTGCTTAATCCAACCTGACCTTTCACAAGTTATCAAGGTTTTTGATTAAATGTCAGAGATTCTGGGGTTACAGGTAAGTGGGGGTTATGAATCCCCTAACACATAATAAAGCTGTTCAAGGCAAGGGGGTTGTGATACAGCAAGAGGCAGTTTGAGACAGATGTGAATTAGAAACTGGCCCAAAGCTGTCAAACAGCATGTTCTGTGGCTTGGGAGAGCCCAGCTCTGCCCAGGCACCCTGAGTGGCACTGTACCTCTAATGCACCCTGTGGTGGCTGGTCTGTGATCTGAGGGAGGTGGCCTTGCTAGCTACTTGGCCAGGCAGCAGGTGACACACAGGCTGACCTGCATCCAGAGCTCCACGTACAGGGAGTGGGGCTTCTGGGATTCTTACCCCTCCAGCCAGTGTGGTGGACATGGGCCAGTCTTTCTGACCAAGTGTCAGCACTCTTGACCAGTGCTCCTGTTGGCAAAGAAAAGCTATTTCCACACCCCCTTTTTAAAATTATGAATGCTTGAGTAGACTTGGTAACAATAGTTGAAAGGCAAGTTAAACAGGTCTTAAACACTTCTTTCTCAATAAGATGTAATATGGGAGCAATTTTCAAATAAATTTCTGGCCAGGTTAAATAAATTCATTGTTTTATTTATGGATGAAAGACCTTTCAAATAGAAGGTACTTGTCACTTTTCATAACTCACCATGCTTAGTATTTTATCAACTTTTATCCATTATCATTAGTAGTTCAGGAACTGTTCTCATTTAAAGGGAAGAAAATTGAAGTTTCAAACACAGTAATGATGTATGGGAAATTATCCTACTTATACACAAATACTGGTACAATTCTGTCCTTGGGGAAAGAGAGATGGTCGATTGGGGTAGTGTGTTTACTTTTTATGCCTTTATACTTTTTGATATTTGAATAATGTAAATGTTCCAACTAATTAAAAACAACAAAAACAATTTTTTTTTTGGACCAAGGATCAAACTCGGGACCTTGAGCTTGCAAGGCAGGCAGCAGCACCACTGAGCTAAATCTGTGGCCCCAGAAACAAAATTTAGAAAATAAAGATTAACTTCCACCCCTCCAAAAGGAAGCATATCAAAAAATTATCCTGCCTGTTTATCAAAAACAGAAGAACAAAAGTGGCATCTCTGACCCTTCTGTCCTTATGCTGCTGTCCTGTGTTCACAGCACAGCTGATTTTATTTATTTTTTTTCATTGAGTTTATTGGTACATTTTAGGTATACAGTACAGTTACATTCATTGTTGGGATCTTGTACCTCTACAAGACAAGTCTTGGTTCTCATTTTTTCCCCTTGTCCCTGCCCTCCCTTCACCCCTTCCACCCCCTCCTCCCCTGCACAACTGATTTTATGCCATCAAAATAGGAAAGGCAAAGAGAGATGAAGTTGTCACAAAGGTGATGCTGGCAAATGACAGTATTTCTCATTGTGATATCTTCTATCACTGATAGACTGTCACAGCCAAAGTGGATTTCATAAGATCCTGAGAATCCAAGTATTCCATGAACCATAAAGTAATACACAGCTCATAAAACTATCACCACGATTGTGAGAGTGGCAGGCAGAGGCTGCATTTATGGCAAAAAATGGGAAGGCACAGAGAAATCAAGGGATTCACCCAAGAACAGAGAGAGCTAGGAGGGGTGAACTGCTGCCCATTTACCTGTTATACCGGTAGGTGGGAAGGTCTTTCCCTTTTCTCTCTTGGCTTCTCCTTTTATGCCAGACACTAAAATAAAATAGGTTTCATCAGAGAAGCCATAACTCGAGCGGAAAATCAGAGAGAATTTATTCCAAATTATCTTTTATAGATGAGAAAATTATGAGCTGGAATTGTGATGTGATTTGTTTAAAATTCCCCTTTAGTCTGCGGATTCATTCAGTCATTAGTCATTCAGTACTTACCGAAGCACTGCAGTAACACCAATGATTGGTAATGTTGCTGAGCACCAGAATCGGCTAGGAGTTGTGTGTGTTGAGGAGACAGGCATAGAACCCTGAATGGTGCAGACTGGTGCAACCACCATGGAAAGCAGTATGGTGATACCTCAAAGAACTAGGATTAGAGGTCCCATTTGACCCAGCCATCCCTCTGCTGGGTATCTTTCCAAAAGAATTAAAAGAATCATACCACAGTGATATATGCACACCCATGTTTACAGTGGCACAGTTTGTAATAGCTAAAGCTTGGAAACAGCCCAGTTGCCCATCAAGTGGAGACTGGATAAAGAAGATGTGGTTTTTCTATAAAATGGAGTACTATTCAATCATAGAGAATGAGAAACTAGAGACATTTATAGCTAAATGGATGTACATTGATGCTATACTCAAGTGAAATAAATAGGACACACGAGTAAATACTAAATAGTTTCTCTTGTGTGAAAAACTAAAAATATAAATACGGTTCAAATTGTATAATTGCTAATGTGAAATAGGAAGAAAATGGCTAAGGGGAAATGGAAGGGGAGGGAAAAGGAAATAAGGGAAAATGTGAAAAAAGTAAAAGAAAGGAAACAAAGTCTTTGTAAATAGGGAAGGGTGAAGGGGTGAAGGGAGGGCAGGGGTATGGGGAAAAATAAGAACCAAGACAGATCATGTAAAGGTACAAGATCCCAATGATAAATGTAACTGTATTGTTTGCTTTAAATGTAGCAAAAAATGGGAAAAATAAATAAAAATAACAGGGAAAAAAATAAAACCCTGAATGGAAGGATAGAATACAAAGAATTTTGAAAACTTGCTTAACAGGTAGAGAGACTGTGAGGGTGCCAACATAGATCATGAGTAGACAAGAGAAGAAACAGAGAGCTGTTGAGGAATTCCCTCAGAGGTTCAGGAAGCAGAGGACGGTGGCATGAGTAAGTACAGTAACAGTGGAAGTGAAGAGAATTTTGTGGCATCATTGAGGCCCCACCACAAAAGATCAAGGGATAAAAACAGGAATGGGATTTGTGCTTGCCAGTTTGATCACACACATTTCAGATTCTGGGTTGAGACTTTGGCAAGTGACATTCTTAAGAAACAATGACTATCCAAACGTGTAGACAGGGAAGAGGCGCACCTGGATGGAACTGGCCGGATGCACCTGCGTTCCATAGGAGCAGGACACAAGCCAGGGCCGTGCACAGCCTCACCGGAGGACAGTGGAGCAGGAAGCTTGGCATGCTGTGACGCTGCAGTCACCTACAAGGAAAGAGACCAGCGAGGCAGGAAGGGGGCTTCCTTATCCTGCACACTGCTGAAGAAGTTGCCTTGAGAACGGTGCGCAGGAAGTCATTAAGTTATGAGGTCTGATAAAATTCAGTGAATGTTTACTTTTTAAACATCGCAGTAAAGGACACATTACCATGGGCCTCCTCAACTCCTCTCCCTCACTTAGAACACACTGATCCCATCATTCTTGCCACTTTCTGAAGCGGGTCCGGAAGTCCTCTCTGACGAGTTATCTTTAGTTGCACTGTTCTGGCTGCTTCGGTGTCCTGAACAGATACAAAACGTTTGTCGCTCCTGATCACTTTGACTTTGGAGCAGAGCTGGAAGTCACATGGTGCCAGATCCAATGAATAAGACAGACAAGAAGGGCAGGCTGTAATGTTTTCCCCAGGCTGCCTTTGGGTTGTTTGGCACCCCTCAGCAGCATTTGGATCACACCTCATAGACACGAACCAGACTTTTCAGCGCTGCTTCAGCAAGTGGCAAGACTTCGGGGATAAGAGTTTTGCAGTAATAAGAAGTATTGTGAAGGAGTTACACGGCCCTATGTAGATTGCTGTAACTTTCAGAAATTTAAGTATTCACTGTATATTTTGATCACCTTTTGTACAATCTGAAAAAGGGTTTGAAGTAATTAAAATAGATTAGGTTATGCACAGATTAACCTCACGATCTCTTTGGCTTATTGCAATGATAGTTGTTCTTTGTGTATAGTTCATGTTGACAGTAAACACTTCGATAAGGAACTCTGCTGCACAGGCCCATGGCAAGAACACATATAAAGCATAGTAGGAAAAGCATTATCTCTACCTTTACAATGGATACAGATTCCCGCTTCATTACATTAACCACACTCTTCCATTTACATACTACACATATTATTCTGAGACTACAATGTATTTTTTTCGTTTTTTGGTATCCGGGATCGAACTTGGGACCTTTGCAGAACATCACAAAATGTTATTTCTCTAATGGCACTTGTGGAGAAGTAGTTCGTGTAATGCTGTGACAATGGTAATATACCGGGACATCAGTATAAGCCATCCCCAAACCTGACACTATGGAATACGGACTATTTTGAGCTGAAGACCACAGATGTAGAAAGAAGCTTTCTGAAGTCCCCCTGTATGGATAAATTTCTAAGAAATGAAGAAAAGAAGACTGTCATTAATCCCTTCTTCCAGGAGAGTTCCAGAGCCTTGAAGAATGCAGAAAGTTGGCAGGAAACTGGGCCCACACAAGTCAGTCTGCACAAAAGAATCCTTATCTCCTATGCCTTCCCCACATGATCACCTTCCCACATTGTGCCACCTGCAGGGGCTCAGAACCTTTCCCCACAAGTTTATTGACCTTTAGCTAAAATGTTGTGTAAGCCCTTTTGTCTGATTGCCTCGTTGGGCTTTTCATTTCATTTCTCTGAGGTTTGCTGTAGTATATGAAATAAACCTTACACTCCTGTTCAAAGCCCCATGCAATGAACCTAAGAGGATGGGAAATAGGTGTTTTTCCCTCCTCAACAGTGCTGTGTACTGAGCCTGCTCTCTGGGGCATGGTATCTATTATTTTGCCTTCACCAGCTTTCCGTTGGAGAGAGACATAGTTAGATCCCGTTACACAGAGAAAGTCCTGAGGGTTAGAGGTGAAGCCTGTCAGCCTATGGCCACATGGCCCCTCAGTGGAGGATTGAGATTTGAACTGTGGCCTTCTAGATGCTCAAATAAAATCTGGGTTCCCCTTTTACATTGCTCTGTTTTACTCTCCTGCCTACAAAATATCACCCTACAGTGTCACTGAAGGATCTGATGTTGAAAAAAAAAAAGGGGGTCATTGCAAAGCATTTCAGTGGGTGGGATGGGTTAGAACTGCACTCAAACCCCCAGGAGAAGAGCTGAGAAGTGCAGTTGTGACTGATGGGCCAAGAATCTGCCCAAGCGCCTTGTGAAATTAATTCACAGCATGTCATGTTTTATCAGCACTAGCCTTGGAACTGGGAACAAGAACAGTCGGGAACAAACCTCCAGAGTCTTAATTAAACTTTGCATTAATTCCAATTAGCAGACATCACAAATCAGCTGACACTTTAACCCGACAAGCAAGCCTGCCTTTCTCACTGTACTTTGCCGCTGAAAGATGCCCATCAGATGCAGAATAATCATGATGTGCAGTGAGGAGAACATCACACCTGGACCCCGCAGCCCCAGTGAGTGCTAGATGAGCTCCACAGCCTAGCCTGGTTCATTTGCTATGAAACCTTCCAGGTCAGTGTCCTGAAAGACAGAGGCTTGGGGAGTCTCCTTAGTTCCTGGAGGTCAGTAAGCTTTTGGGGCAGCCCTGGACTTTAATCTCAGGCACGCAGCCAGCTACAAGGTCCAAAGAACACTGAAAAGTGAAGGTCTGCCCTTTTTAGAAATAGCCATCAAAGCCAAAGAAGTGAGGAATCTGTTGCTAATTGACCATCTGATATGCCAGGAGTAGTAGATACAGTAACCTGTGAGTTCTCAAAGCAACCTGCTTATCAGATGCCAGTTTCCTTAGGAAACCATGCTCAGAGGACCAGGGGGCCACAGGTCATGCAGGCAGCAGCTTAAGATGGTGGCAGCCTTTGGGTGAACCCCTGAGACAGTGGAGCTTTTGTAGTGCTGGCCTCACCACCAGCCATTTGTAGAACAGTCCTTTATTCTCATTCCAATTCTTTGGATTAAAGATTGTGTTTTGTTTTGTTTTTATCACAGATGTGAGGACAAGATGCCTTCCTAGCTGACAACTGCATGGAGATCCTAATCAATAGCATAAGGAGAAAATGGAAAGCAATAGACTGTGATCAAAGATGGAGTCCTCCCTCAGGGCAGTGCAGATACCGGGTGAGAGAAATGGCTCTCATATCCTTCAGCACCCCAGAACCTAGAGCTTGGGAGTTATAGCAGACCCTATCAGCTGTCAGGAAGGAGGGGGAACACAAGGAGCTTAAAATATCTATAGTATGTGACTCACCTGTCTCCTGAGTAGGATGAATGACTTCAAAGAATTTAAAGAGCTCGAAAGATTAGCAGCAAGGTCAGAGCCATGGGGTTTATATGAGTTTTTAGTGAAAGATATAGGCCTCCGGGGTGGGGAAAGCCCTGATAACTTTGCTTTAAATCCTCTGGGGAGGTGGCGGGGGGGAATGGGATAATGATCCTACCAAAAACTCTGAGCAATGAAAGAGGATCAGCTCTATCAGAGAAAAATGCCTGTGTGATAAACTGAATGAAATCTGTGAGCAGAATGATAATGCTGCAATTCAGGGAGGGATGGGAAAACGTTCCGGCAGTAATTACTGCATTGAAGGAGCAGGACAGGCCTCAGCAGGTGATGACTGTTCCCTCCTGTCCTCCAGACCTGTGGGTCCAGCATGCATTGGAGCAGGGCCAGCGCTTGCCTTCTAAGGGACTGGGGCTGTGGTCAGTGTTGGCAGCTGCCTGGAATGGGAAGCCCAGGCCTGTTCTCAACCTGTGTGTGTGGCCTGCCAGCTCAGGAGACTGTTACAGTTGGTTATAAAAGATGAAAGAAGAGTGTTTGGTTGACACGTAAAATATACGTGAGCAAATTTCCATGTCCAACTACAAATTTTCCTTGGAATGTGGCCACAATCATCCCTTGATGTGTTGTTTTCCTGGGCCTGGACAGAAAACGTTCGCCAATCCCTTCCTGAGAGGAAGCCACACAATCAGATTCCTTCTTCAACCCTGGCCCAAGTTCAAATCTGACCACGCTGTATAGGCTACCAGAATGCCTCCTGGTCTGTTTTTATTTTATTTATTTTTGTACCAGGGATTGAACTTGGGACCTTGCCCTTGTGAGGCAGGTGGTGGAACCACTGAGCTAAATCCCCAGCCCTTCCTGGTCTATTCTTAAACACCTTATTTAATTCATGTGTGTTCAGCATTTCAGTGATTTTAAAGGAATGAACCAAGTTGCACAATGATCACCACATTCTGGTTTGGAATATTTCTAGTAAGATTCAGGTTGCACCTTTGTGGTTAATCCACACCTAGGTCCACCCACCAGCCTCAGGAACCACTCACCTCCTTTGAATTTTTGTCAATTTGCCTTTGCTGAATAGTTCATATAAGTGGAATTATACAATGCAGCACCAAATAAATCTTCTTAAATCTCGAATCAGAACATGCAATGAATTTCTTTAAAATCTTTCCATAGTCTTTCCCAGGCCCTAGGATAAAACCCTAGTTTGGCCCACAAGGACTCCCATAGCTGCTCTATTCCTAAGGCCTTGGCCACATTTCCCCATGAATATAGCCTCCTAGTGACAGCCCCAGGACCTTTGCAGTGGTTTTTCCTTATAATTGGAGGAAGCCATCTCAAATGACTGACTCCCGGGGCTCAGGATTTAGCTCAGTGGCACCATGACTGCCTCGCAAGCAGGTCCCAAGTTCAATCCCTGGTACAAAAAAAAAAAAAAAAAAAAAATCAAATGACCAGCTCCTTCCTCGCCCATAGCTGTTAGTGTAAAGGCCACCTACCTAGAGTGGAGCACCTTACCAGAGAATGCTCTTGTGTTTCCTCTGTGCATGATCATAAACTAATTATTGTGTGTGTTAATTGGCTGGCTTCACTATGATCTGTTTCCCTGCCAAAAACATCAGAAACATGAAATCAGGGCTCTCATCACTGTGCCATTCACCATCATACCCAGGATCTAGTGCAATGCTTCACATTGTGTTAAATGGGTAACCGAATGAATGAATAAATGAATGAATGATTATTCAGCTGTGCTTTTGACAAAACTAGCTAAGGCTGGGGATTTGGCTCAGTGGTTCTGCAGCCTGCCTCTCAGGTACAAGGTACAGTGTTCTATCCCCAGTACCAAAAACAAACAAACAAACAAACAAAAAACCTCCTAGCTCTTCTGTCCTATGTTCCCTGAACCAGTGCCACTGGAAAAAAAATATAA